GATGTGATGTTTGTGAGAGAAAAAATAAATTGATTATGGGTTTGATGTAACATTTTATCTTTTTGACTATCTTAGTCTATTTTGTCTTTTAGTGCTATTTTAGCCTAAAAACCCAAAAAAAAACCTATTGCCAAACGCCCAATATATTTTACCATAGATTCTAGATAGTTCTAAGAATGGAAAACATTAATTGTATATTCTAGATGGTTCCTAAGAGGCTAGGATGCCTACATAAAGGGATGCCTCATTTGGCCAAACCATATAAGGGAAGTGTAATCCAAGTGATTACCAAGCAAAGCATTCTACAAGAGCTTCTCCCTCTACAAAGTATCTCTCTAGAATTTCTCAAATTTGTGAATCTTTCCCATCTCTCTTCCAAGTAAGTTGACTTAGGTGCAAACCAGGCAAGGTGTCAAAGCCGCACAGTTGGCTTGAAAAAACCAAGGTCATGATAATGCGCAGCTATTGAATCAATATATAACATAAGCTATATAAATTATCACCATAGGAACTGATAAATTACGTCGAGAAAGAAAATGAAACGTGTTATGTCTACTCGATCAATGAAGATTTTCGATATGCCAAACAATATGGCATAAGGCGTTAGATTGATTGCTCATTCAAAGCCGAAAAACAACAATGTCAGGATAAAAAGAATGATACAATAAATGTATATATATATTTCATACTTTTTTTAATGACCTTTTTGCTTTAACTTATTATTTATTTATTTTGGTTATAAAAAGTCCGATTTAATTGAAAGCTTCAAGAACTTAGACAAAGAAAATAATGATGGGATAAAATAGTCAAGAAACAACCTATTAGTGTAGTTTTGATCATTGAACCATTCAAAAACTATAAAGTAATTATGTATTATTATTTGTATGGTAGGGTATATATGATTCATCTATGAAATTTTACACTAGAGATGTTAAGCCAAACCATCCTGCCATTTTGCTTATCAGATGTGGTATTGATAAGGACATAATGAACAACTTATGGTTGATACAAAATTCGTGGGGTATGCGTTGGGGTGTAAACAAATATACCAAAATTATTCGTAATTCAAGTCTTTCCGAGAGAAGAATGTCATGCTATCGAGACTAACCTATCCAGAAAATGTGGAGCAATTTGTGTATTATATAATCAAATATTGTTCAACCAAATAGTAGTAGATTAATGTCCAGTTTTTTTTAGACAATATAATAGTATAGATACTTGTGGTGTTAAGAAAGTGTGTATGAGTTATGTGCACTTATTTTTACTAGTTTAAGATTTGAATGAGCATTATGTTTTCTTTATTTTGATGATTGTATTGTCTGGTGTCTCTTTTTCTTTATTTATTTCCAAAATGAACTTTATTGATAACAAATCAAAGCGAAACCTTACTTCATACATCAATAAAAAAAAAAAAAATCCAAAAATAAAAGCACAAAAACTTCATCCCAACTAGTTTGGCACAAAGCATCATGTCCAATCATTTACAGCACAAACCACAAGGCAACAAGCCAATGATTAAAGAGAATTAATCCAGGAGGCAATTACAAGCAGAAAAAGATTCTCTGCCATACACCCAACACATAGCAATGCACCTACTCACTGTTCAAGCCTTACATCATCTTCCCCTTATGGAATTCAACCTATAAACTAGGTCATTAATAGAATCATCCACCTGTCCGATATTATACTTAATCCAAATAGCTAGTCTCACTTTGATAGATTTACACAAAGTTTCCCAATTGATTGTGTCATTGTTGAATTTGTTGAGATTGTCTGATACTCTTTGAGCTCCAATCTGTTTATGCTTGGATCTAATGGGTGTCTTTGTTTTGTTTTGTTTCTGTTTTTTATTTGTATTTTTAATTTTATGGTGTGTTGTTGATTCTAACTTTTGAGTTGGTTTGAGGTAACTTTTTTGCGACTTTTTAGATTTTTTAAGAGATAAAAAAGTTAATATATCTAAGAAATTATTAAATAAACTATTTTTTTTTAGTGAAAAAGTTGATGTAACATGTGATTATTTTAACTGATAGCAAATTAGCTTATTACTGTAGTTTTTTTGCTTTTTGACTTTTTTTAACAAAAATTACTTTTTTTTTTTTAGGGAAATTACATCAGTGTAATTTTACAAAATTATTTAAAAATCAGTAGAAAACTTTATATATATTAATAATCAAAATTGTAAAATGAACCCGCCCAAGTTGCACCCCTAGCACAAACCACAAGGCAACAAGCCAATGATTAAAGAGAATTAATCCAGGAGGCAATTACAAGCAAAAAAAGATTCACTACCATACACCCAACACATAGCAATGCACCTACTCACTGTTCAAGCCTTACATCATCTTCCCTTATGGAATTCAACCTATAGACCAGGTCATTAATAGAATCATCCACTTGTCCGATATTATACTTAATCCAAATAGCTAGTCTTTGATAAATTTACACAAAGTTTCCCCATTGATTGTGTCATTGTTGAATTTGTTGACATTGTCTGATACTCATTGTCTGATACTCTTTGAGCTCCAATCTATTTATGTTTGGATCTAATGGGTGTCTCTGTTTTGTTTTCGTTTTGTTTCTATTTTTTATTTTTATTTTTAATTTTATGGTGTGTTGTTGATTCTAACTTTTGAGTTGGTTTGAGCTAACTTTTTTGTGACTTTTTAGATTTTTTTAGAGATAAAAAAGTTAATATATCTAAGAAATTATTAAATAAACTTTTTTTTTTTAGTGAAAAAATTGATGTAACATATAATTATTTTAACTGATAGCAAATTAGCTTATTACTGTAGTTTTTTTTGCTTTTTGACTTTTTTTTTAACAAAAATTACTTCTTTTTTTTAGGGAAATTATCACATCAGTGTAATCTTGCAAAATTATTTAAAAATCAATAGAAAACTTTATATATATTAATAATCAAAATTGTAAAATTTTCCATGTTGGGTATTGTTTCTCTAACGCCATTTTTTTTTTTTTTTGCCAAACCATTCCTTGACTTTTTTGACTACATTTTTCTTGGGTTTAGGTTAGAATAGGTGTACATGATTTGTTTCTTTCTAGTTGGGATGGAAGGTTTAGCTATGATGCTATGTGTACTCTATCCCATTTGATATTGTAAACTTAGGGATTTGAATTCTCTCAAGTTAGCTATCTTAACTTGAGAGAGTGTTTAGGCTTGATAGGCCCATTTTGGGGCCGACCTCCATGATCTGAACCGTTCACTTACTCGTTGAAACAATCTAGCATATGAGTTTACTACACACTAGAAGTCGAAGAGTTTTATAGAAGAAAAAAAAAACTAAATGATTATTTATTGTTTTATTTACTAGTGTATTGGAGCATGAATGAAATGCACAAATTTATGTTGTGTATGGTATCACATCCCAAAAAAAAAATTTGTGATCTAGAGGGTAGATTATTGAGTTGTCCAATGAAAAGATAGAATACATTATGTAGTAGATACATCTTCTTTAGATAATCTCCATTCAGAATTATATTTGTGTTGAAAAGACAGCACAAGATGTGTGTCTTATTTAGATAATCTTCCATTCAGAATTATATTTATGTAAGGGACAACCATTTGGATCTTTCTTAGTTTCTTCCACTCATATTTTAGAGGATTTTAGAATTTTTGTTCTCTTGTCATTTCTAATGTGGTTAATTAGATAAGTTGTGACTTGCCTGATTCTTCCATAGATCAATATTCATTTTTCAGTTGGTTCATCCTCCTACTGTTTTTGGCATTTCTTTGTGTGTTTTGAACTTGGCCATATGTTTTTGGAAGTGATTAAGTGCAGCTGAGGTGCTACGATCATGAAATACAAAATATTATGTTTGGGACTTTGTATGGGACAAATTTGTTTAAATTTTATAAAAAGCCTGAACATTTTTGCAGATAGAGCAGCAAGGGTTGGGCATGCATCAACAACTTTTCTTTTCTTTTCTTTTCCTTTCTTTTTCCTTTTTTTTTTTTTTTTTTTTGAAGAAGAAGAAGAAGAATAGAAGGTCGTGATGAACTTCAGTCTAATTTACTTGAATTATATTGAAATTTGATCCGGTCTTATTGGGTCTCCTTTTTTAGATTTATAGCAACATTGAAAACAAATTTGATGACGAATTAAAATTCACAACTGCTATGATAAAATAATAATTTTGATAACTACCGACCCAATTTTAGGTATGCATCTTTCTCAAATTTATTTAAACATCTGAATCATTATAATTGAAAATATTGGTTAACAAAATACTCTGTGCTATTGATGGACTACCAAGTGCCCCTTGCCTATGACACTCCACAACCCATAATAATTAACGTTAAACATTCCATATTCACAAAATCTCAATGATGTGGACCAAAAAGGTGTCAGATGAGGAAAGAATCAAGCAAGTTTGGAAATTTAAAATTTTAGGAATTATTACACTATTAGAATATTAGGTAGGTTATTAGTTAGGATTTAATTATTTGGAGTGTTTAATTAGGGTTTTTAGATGCCTATGAATAGGCTATTAGGGTTATTTAGCTATGAATAATGAATTGAGACTATTGGCATTGAGTTTAGGGTTTATTTTCGTTTCTTTTGGGTGTGCTTTATTCTTTTCTCTTGAATTATTTTTATTCTTTAGTGATCCTATATCTGGTTAGAGCTTTATTTGGATATAGCAAACATAGAGGGTTTATTCTTAAGCATTGATGATTTTGTCTATCGAATTGAAAGGGCACTTGAAATTCATGAATCTAGCAACACATGGATGAAACCAGAGGATGACATAGCTTGGGAGGACAAGATAGTGTATTAGAAAGTTGTTTTGGTGATGCTTTTTTCATGTCAAAAACTGACAGCTTGCCAACTTTTTGGTTCTAGTTTCTTTATTTTTTTGCTAGTAATTCTTATTTTTGATTTTTATTTAATAAAATGTTTTTTTCCTTCTATTGATATTATATATATAAAGGTCAAGGATTACTAGCAAAACTAAAACGAGTGGGTTTGGGAGCTAACCTGTGATGCCTGGGATGGAGAGATTCAAGCTTTTATCCTTTAGACGTCTTTTCCCTTGTTTCCATTCTGCAAATTTAACAAAACATAATTATATAATTTAACTCTAGACTTAAAAAAAGTAAAGCTGGGAAATAGAGCAAAAAGTTAAACATATGAATGTAAAGTTTGAAATGATGTTTCAAGGAAAAGAAAAAAGAGAAAAGGGGAAGAACAAAAAAAAGCCATTAATGAAACATTGCAAAAACAATGTTTCAAATTTTGACAAGCAAAAAATGGATAAAGGAAGCTATTTAAAATAAATAAATAAATAAAAGAACGCAAGTCAGTATTATCTCAATATTATTGCTATTCAACTATTATCAGCAACAACACTACTCTTAATAGCATGTTGCTTCACCATCAAGGTGTGAACTTAACACATAGATCAACCAACCTAGTTAATCAGCGAATTATTAAATCTGCCAGTCCAAGTAGCAATTTTGAACCAGCCTCTCTTATTTTGAATGAAGTATGGTACATTACATCTCTTCTCGGCATATTTTTACCAATTAAAAGTGATTGTGCACCATATGGTTTCTTTGCTTCCAAATGAAATTATTTGCAAACAATGTTGCAATTCTGGATTTCTTATTAAAATTAAAGATGTTTGGATCTTGGATTTAAGTAGAATTTGCGAAAAGGAAAAAGAAGAAGGGAAATGTGACAAACCCTAAACCCCTTTGCTTTTCCCTCTATAAAACAAAGAGAAATACAATGCATTAAACAGATAAGTTACTAGCTGGTCACATCCGCTAATCCTTGAATTTTGGGCACGGAATGTGCATGTGATGTGATGTGCTTAGTTCCCACAAAGACCTCACAAAAAACCAAAATCCCATTTTGGCAGCCTCTTAATTTTTCTAACAAAGCATCTAGACCAACTCATTTTTCCAATTCATCACTTTAATAGAAAATGGATCCCACACAGTATAATCCCAGCAGAGAGAAGAATGTACATCTACATATCTATACACATGTATACACCTACAAATATAAATACATACATACATGTGCAGATATGCATCTAGAAAATTTATATATAAAAAAAAAAAAGTCCTCATTGACCATAGAATTACAAATTAACAACAAAGAGTTATTAAAAAAAAAGGGGGGGGGGTGTTTCATTAAATTAATCGTACTCATTGTCATGAACAAAATACTTTCACATGGTCAGGTTTTGATGACTTTATGTTTCTATGTTGTGAAAAAAAAATTAAAGTAATCCCTGATTCCCTGTGCTATTTTGTATAACATGTCTAGACTTGACAGTAAGTACTTTTTTCTAAAAAGTTAATAGAAGACAGAAAATTCAATTAACAAATTAACTTAACAAAGTCTCACATCCAAACTATTTGGCAATAGGTCTACAAACCCTTTTCGAGAAAAGGTAATAAGTTTCAGTACTCCCTCATGAAAGAAATCAACCTACCTGCATACCTAATATTTACCTAAGTGTATTCTTTACTTGACGTCTCAGTAGTCAAAGCCCTTGCAGATTGTAATAAGCTCTGGATTTTTAATCAAAAACATGAATTAGAGCTACAGCAAGACAAGAGATAGTACCAAATAAAAGTTTGATTAATAACAAGCATTTAATATTGAAGAACTCTGATGAATAAGTGTGATGCATGGAGGTTAAATTAACTTTTTGGCTATTTGGCTAAAATATAAGCTAAAAAAAACTAGTATGTTTGGGATGACTTTTTGACTTTTTACGAAAAGATGTGTAAAAAGTAGAGTGAAAATAGAATCTTTGACTTTTTAATATGGGTTGTTGGCTTTTGGGTTTTTTTAGTGATTTTTTGACTTTTTGGCTAAAAAAGCCTCTTGCCAAACGAGGCCTAAGCATTTAATAAAGCTGTTTGGAAGGCCTTTATACCAAACATACAGATTTTCAGTTAGTTAACATACATATTTTGTGCTTTGTAACTCTAAAAATAAGGCTTCAACTCACTCGATCTTTTCTGTTGAGGAGAGTTTGGGGTGAATTAGTATAGTGGTGGGGTATCTGTTGGGTATATGTCCTATCCTATGAATTTGGAGATGTTAGGATCTTGGTAGTTTTGAAACGTCTTTAAGGATTTGATGAAATTAATCTAGGAATCCTTGTTTTGTTTTTTGTTTTTGTTGCTGTTATTTGGACTTTCTGGTTAACTAGAAATGAAGTTATCTTCAACCAAAGGTGGTTATCTAGTAAAGGACAGTGCTGCATTCTGGATAAAAGCAAACAGAGAGACCTTGTTTGATTAACAAGATTAATATTGAAAGGGTTAATAATCCCATAAATTAGTGTAGGATTAGTTTTCTAATTAAATTAGTTAGATAATCATTTATTATGTATTTATTTAGTTTTTTTTTTTTTATTCAATGTCTGATGTACATGTAAGCCGGTTAGTAAAATTTGCAATCAAACATGGGATTGTGAGTCCGTAGACTAACAATCCCAATTCTATGCTATAATCCTACTAATCAAACATGCCCAGAGTATTTTATTTTTCAGCATATGATGTGAGTATATTTGCTGATTCTTTTTTCATGTCAAAGGCTGGCAGCTTGTCATCTTTTTGCTTCTTTTTTCTTTCTTTTTTGCAGTTATACATGCTTGGCTTGGACCATGAATACATGATGCTTATTCATGTAATCCTTCCATCAACATTTAATAATAAAATGTTTTTCATTTTTTATTAATAAAATATATTTTTTGATTGAAAAAAATGTCAAGGATGACTAGCATTAGTAAAACTAAGGCGGTGGTGTTTGGTTGAAGGATTTGGAGAGAAATTTGGAAAAGAGAAGGAAAAAGGTTAGTAGAATGTAAATAAAATATACTTACAGTTAATTTTGCACACCATTTTCCTTTTCCTTTATAAATCCCTCCCCAAGTCCATACACCAAACACAACCTAAAAGAGTGGGATTAGAAGCTAACCTTCAAATGCCTGTGATGGAAGTTGAAACACATATAAACAAACAGAGAGCAATACATAAACTAGGAACAACAAAAATGAAGATTATATGATCAGAAAATCGAGTAACTTTTTGACTTTTTGGCTTTTTTTAAAGTCCCGCCTAAAACTAAGGCTGTGTTTGGTTGAAAGATTTAGAGAAAAATTTGAAAAAAGGAAGGAAAAAGGTTATTAGAATGTAAATAAAATATACTTACAGTTAATTTTGCACACCATTTTCCTTGTCCTTTATAAATCCCTCCCCAAGTCCATACACCAAACACAACCTAAAAGGGTGGGATTAGAAGCTAACCTTCAAATGCCTGTGATGGAAGTTGAAACACATATAAACAAACAGAGAGCAATACATAAACTAGGAACAACAAAAATGAAGATTATATGATCAGAAAATCACGAACCGTAAGAGAGAGAGAGAGATGCCTGATCAAATTGAGATAAATGGTCCCAAAATCGCGAGAGGCATTGTGCCCTAATGCAGAAACCGTAGGCACTGAGAGTGAGAGTGAGAGTGAAACAGAGGGGAAAACGAGAGAACTTCGTGATGTTGATCAATAGAGACCCACAGAGAGGCATTTTTTTTTTGAGAAAAAAAGTAGAGAAGCTCTGTATAAAAATACAGTGATGCTACAAAACAAACCCACCAGCGTCTCTCTGGTTTTCTCTCTCCTGCTATTTCTTCACCTCTTACCTCATCTCCCACAACACAGTTCTTCAACAACACAAAAACCCCACCTTCATCTTCCTCCCCCCTCTCTCTCTAGAAAAAAGAAAAAAGAAAAAAAAAATAGATCTGAAAATTTCTGACTTGTTTTCGAACGAAACCCTTAGGATTTTTTTTTCTTTTGTTGCTCAATTTCTGAGGATTCGAAGGCCTAGGCCGTCCGTCGCAGCAACGATGCATTCGCCGCCTTACTCTCGCCAGCTTCGGCGCCGATATCTCCCTCCAAAATGCCGCCTCCAACGTCACGGTGTTGCTCCTCTAGTACCAGCATCGACGTCGCGGTGGTGCTCCACCATGGATATGAACTTCACAGTTTCTCTCTCTAACTTTCATGGAAATGAACTTCAGAGTCATGGCGGCGAGCAGGTGGAGAAGCCTTAAGAGGAAGATCGGTGGAGCGTGAGGCATTGCTTTCATGAACGATTTCGGAGCCATCGAAAGAGTCCGGCCAGATCTATTAAACCTCGCCACTGCCACTGACGCTACCGCCGCCGCCGTGGCGGAGATGGGGGCAGCGGTATATGTGGTGACGAGAGTGAGAGACAGTGGGGAGAGAGAAAACCCTAGGATAACGAGAGGTATCAGGATCCTCTAGAGTAAAGAATCCTGAAGTGAGAGTAAAGAATCCTGAAGTGATCTCCTAGAGTGAGAGATCTGATGGTTGAAATCAAAACGACGTCGTTTTGGTTAGTAAGTGAAAAAAAAAAAAAAAAACAGAGAAAGAAAGAAAGAGTTTGATTTCAAAAACACAACCTCTATTTCTAACGCTTCCCCATTTTTAGCCTTTCCTTCCTATTCAACCCAAAACCTTTTGATTCTTATTCTTTAGGAAATGAACTACCCATAAAAAATATGAGGACTCAAAACCAAAACATAGCAAGTTGGGTCATCAGTTTTTTTATTGATTAAAATCAATCTTCTTCAAACCCATTTCTCAATCAATCTCCAACACGGAAGACAAAGACCCAGATTTTTCTTCCCCCAAACTCCCCACAATCACCCAGGTATAACAATATTCATTTTGCCCTTATTCTATTTAAAATAAATTTTTTTATTATTTTTTCAGTGAATCAAGCATAAAAACAGAGTTTGATTAATAACCCATTTCTAAAGTGCTCTGTTTCTTTTCTGTGAATAGGTTATGGAAGAGCTGAAAGAGCTATGGAGAATGGCTTTGCCAATAACAGCAACGAACTGTTTAATGTGAGTATAATCTGTAAAAATGTTTTTGAAATTGTCTAACTTACTTTCATGGCTGCCAAGAAGAAGAGAGAGAGTCTCTCTATTCTTTCATATTTGCAGGAACCTGTTCGTCATTTTGAACCAGAGGTGATTTTTTTTTTTTTTTTCTTTCAATTTACTAACCAAAACGACGTCGTTTTGGTTAGTTTTGATTTCAGCCACAGGATCCCTCACTCTAGGAGATCACTTTAGGATTCTTTACTCTAGAGGATCCTGATACTAGAGAGAGGAGGAGGAGGAGGAGGAAGCGGAGAGAGATTTTTGAACAGATAAGTTTTTGTATATGTAGGGATATTTTTGTCATTTCCCTGTGTCGTATATTAAAAAGTATTAGGGGTGTTTAGGATGATCTAAATAAGTATATTTTTTAATTTTTTATGAAATATAGATTGAATTTGGGTTGGATTTGAAGTGTTGTGTTAGACAAGTGATGTTACTTAAATAGGATAGTGATTTTTTGACTTTTTATCTTTTTTCAAGCATGCCAAACTTGACCTTACTATTGACAAGGAGCTTGTATTTGCACACATCCATTCCACTCTGTGCACACACTTAATGATAATTATTTTATTACAATTTTATTTCCAAGTGAAATTACTATTATGGATATCACACACAATTCAAATAAACATATTCGCAAGTTGAATGTCAAAAAAATGAAAAAAAAAAATTCAAAATTCTATTGTCGAAAGAAATGATAATTTTTGAAATGCTACTTCCAAACAAGTTATTTATTGAGAAGGATGTGCATAGAGTGTAATGGGTGTGTGCAAATAGAAGCTTCCCTATTAACTCTGCTTAAATTTTTTAGGATCTCTAATTTATAATTTTTTTATTACAATTATACTTTTAAGTAAAATTGCATTAAAAGACATCGAAACACTCACCTATTAAATAAGAACTAACACTCTACAATATTGGACACCCACCCTCACCCTCACCCTCACCCTCACCCTCACTCCCACCTCCAACTATACATATTACATCTTTCTAAACCCTAAATTCATTACTCTTCATAACCAACTGTAGCTGGTTTTTCGTACTCCTCGGAGGGGTTTACTCTCCACTGGTACGATAGGCCTACAGTTCGGACTCCCGTGATTCTAGATTTGGTTTCACAAGTACAATGTGAAACAGAAAACAAATGAGAGTCCAAATCCGAGAAATCCCAGAAAATTCATTAATCATCAGAGATGCCAAAAGTGGACTGTATAGCTAGATTTCAGAGTCGTTATCCAAATATTTTTAGAAAATTTAGGAAACTCTGTGACTCGTGCTAAAGACCACTTGTTCGTCATAACCAAAATTGTCTTGGTTCGGGAACTTAGGTATGAAAAAAGAAAGTCATGAATTGAGCATCTCACTCACCCAATCAAAGATCGACCTATACTAATCATGATGTGAATTTTATGTACATTATATGCTCATTTTCTGATTTTGTTATGCTAACTTACTATGTGAGGCACACAAGTATAAACTGTGTCGCTTACTTTGGAAATGACTTGATTTTATGTGATTTTCGTTAAAAGAATTTTGAGTGCACACAACTGAAAATGAAAAAAAAAAAAAAGAATGAGCTCATACATACATTTGATCAAAATCATCCTCAATGCAAGTAAAATAACCTTCATCCACAAGCATTCAAACAGTTCATTTCAAGTAAGCACGTAACCTCGTGGTAAGATGTTAAGCATGACAACAATCACACACATGAATATGCTAAAACCAAAATACTCACTTAGTACTCCGAGGTAAGACAAAGAAAAAGAAAGTACTTAGAAAAATGCATAACCCTAACAATGTACATAACTAATGCAATACATACAAGAATACAACTATTAGGTTCGACTTATTAATACGTCTCATAAATTAACTCAAAGCATCGGTAACGCACGTATTCAAGTAAGTAATGACAATGTGTAGACACCCCATTTTTGACCGTCCTTGAGACTTGGACGTCACCGCTTAGAACACTCGGTGATTATTCATGTATGTGTTCGTTTAGAGTTCCCGGAGGTTTCGGCTCGCGCGCCCTGCCTCAGGATCTCCGAACTTGACCGTTTAGTGTCTGGTTTCACACCGAACACTTGTGTTTTGCCTTGGAAGGGCAGGGAATGCCTTGTGAGGCATCCCCACACACCACCGGCAGTGGCTAGAGGCCACCGGCCGGTCTTTTGCTTCCATCGGCACATTTTGTTGCCGGTCGGCACATTTTATTGCCGGTCGGCATATTTTGTCGCCGGTTGGCACTCTTTTTTGTCGAAACAACTTTTTTGGGCAGCCGACCACTGTTCATCCACTTTATGGAGATATTTTGTGCCAGCTGTGATAGCTGGCACCAACTCTGCCTCCCTCCATACACGTGTATGGAGGGATCTCCCTCTAAGCAAGCTTGTTGTATAAGCTTTGCAAGAGGGAGTCTTATAAGAGGGAGGGCCTTCCTCTTTGATCTAGGTTAGACTTTTGCAACCAAAAACCAGAGCTTTGAGATATAGATACACTCTATCTCTATATCTCCCTCTCTCCCCTCCTTTGTGTGTGTTTCCTTGGCCTAAAGGTGGTTTTTACCTTACTTTTGCACCATTACACACACTATTACACCTTACTCCGAGATTGAGGGACTTGGAGGGTTGATTCTTGAGTTTTTGGACTGGTTTTGATCAAAAGAAGAGGGCTAGACCATTTGTTCTTCAAGGGTTCTTCAAGGGTGAGCATCTTGCTTTTTATTCCCCAAACTTGCAATAGTTTTCTACCTATCTTGCTTGCTGTTTTAGCTCTTGTTTATAACATGAAAGAGGCTTATATTTTCATGCTTTAGAACTTTCATTAAGGTCATTTTGTGGTTTGAGTACAAACTCACCCTTCTAGGCCTTGTTTGGTCCATTTTGGTGCCTCTTTAGTAAGGCTTTGTTCACTTCAGTGTTTTGGTCCTTTGACCACTAAAAACCAGTTGATTTCCAGTGTTAAAAAAGGTGGTTTGAAGTCTTGCATAGGGGAGGGACACCCCTCTCCCTTCTTTGTTTTGTTTCCTTGCTTTTTGGCTTAAAAGGATAGCATGTGTGCTTGATCATTCTTGGCCTCATTTCAGAAGTTTTTTAGGTGTTTTAGGTCATGTGTAACCTCTGTTTTTGGCTGGATTTGTGCCTCCTTGTATGCTTGTAATACTTGCTTTGTATTGCTCCATTTTGCTTAGAAGTGTATCTCATGATTAGGCCATGATTCTTGTGTGTGTTGGCTTAGTTCCATGAAGCTTTTAGTATTGTTTTTCCATGCTTAAAGTCTGTTGGTTATCCATTTGGTCATGCTTGGCATGTTTGTCATAGGTGCTATGTATTTCGGCTTGAAAGCTTTGAGCATTTTGACCTCTAACATGTATGGTTGTGATTACCCTCATGATTTAACATCATCTAGGACCACATTTTAGTCCAAGAATCATGTTTGTATGTGTGCATGCTTGACCTCTTTTATGCCTTGAGGGTGTACTCTTTTATGCCTAGGAATGAGTCTTGGTGGTAGCATTTCATGGGAGGTATTGTAGCTGCCATACTATGAGGTTTCGGAGTACCATTTTGCATGTAAAAACTCTGTTTTTGCTTGTCTAAATCATGCCATGATTTGGTCTTGTTCTTGGAAGTGAAGTGGCCCTTTTGGTGCCTTAGCCTTGGGTCTATTGGCTTGCATATTGACATGAGAGTTTGTTCACCATTTTGAGCACTTTTGGTGTTGTTTTGAGGTGAGTCAAGGCCTGCACTTTTGTTACTTTAAGGCCTTCTTGCATGCTTGTCCCTTGTTTGCTGCATAATTGTCTCATAAATGTGTAGTCCCATGCTAACTTCATGGTAAATTGGTCCATGTTTGCATCACACTTGCATCTTGCATGCTAGCATTGCATACTTGTCATATTTGTTGCATAACATTTGGCATGTCTTGCATACTTAGCATCATGTTGCATCTTGAGTCTTGTGAGCATAACATGCATTTGCATCATTTGGTTTGGGGTGTCAAGCCAAATATGAAGGTCAAGGGACATTCATACTTCGAGTGATGTAATGTACCTTGATTCTCGGTCACCAGGGCCTTTGACTCCAACTTGATAAGGCTTCGGTTCTCATTTTGTTTGTTGCATACATTTTTATATCAAATGGTAAATTTGATTCTTTGAGCCACCATGCACCATTGATGGTTCGGGGATCGAAGGACATGCTTCCTTGAGTTCAAAGCATGATAGGAAGCATAACCATGCTCACATGTGCCTGAAAACCCCATGCCATGCACTGTCTGTTCTCTATTTGCTGTCAAACTGTCTTCTGCAGGAAGTTCCTGCCGACCGGCAGAATTTGGTGC